GCACTGGAAAATGAAAAAGGAATTAATGTTTTTATTTACGTTCAATGGAGAGAAAGGGATTACAAGAGAGTAAGCAGGCACACAACAGAGAATACACATCGAAAGCAATGCACTGACACCCAGCAGGCATGAGCATGCTTGATAAATCGCCTTGTATCCTCCATTGTGTGTGCCTGCTTACTCTCATGCAATCCCTTCTTCTCCAATCTCTCTGCTCTGCAAAGAGAGAAAAAGAAAAGAAAAACAACAGATTAGGCATTAAAGCAGGACAAGCACTGTGAGGATTCTCATGGTCCATCATGTACAGATCATCTTCATCAGCTTCCATATCGCCCAGGAGATAATCGGCAGGAACATCACTTCCTTCTGTCTCTTCGTTCTCTAGACACCCAGAAAAAAAATGCTTACAAGTAGAGTCATAGAGTTGGATGGGGCTGTTTGGGCCACAGAATTCAGCTTCCTGTTCAGTGCAGGAGTTCAGATTAAAGCACTTCTGATCAATAGCAGTCTAGCACCCGTCTAGGCTCCACTTGAACAAAAACAATTGAAAGAAGTTCATTCCTTCCTCCAAGATTTGCTGTTGAGCCACTTGGTTACTTAGACATTTGATCAGAATCTGCCTTCATCTAGCATGGGTCCATTGTTCCATGTCCTAGAGACACTAAAAGGAGATTGTAGCTTCTTTTAGGAAACCCCTTTTGGGGTATTGAATGAGTGGTGTCATACAGGTAGTCCTCGACTTATAACCATTTGTTTAATGACCGTTTGAAGTTACAGTTGCACTGAAAAAGTGTAACTCGTTCTTGCACATATAACCATCGCAGCATCCCCATGTCATGTGACCAGGATTCAGGTGCTTGGCCAACAGCATGTATTTACAATGGTTGCAGCATCCTGGGGTCATTTGATCGCCATTGGCAACCTTCCCAGCCAGCTTCCAACAAGCAAAGTCAATGGGGAAAGCTGGATTAATGATCATGTGATTCACTTAATAAACACAGTGGTTCACTCAACAAGCAGGGCAAAAAGGTCATAACATTGGGCATGGCTGACTTAGCAACTGCCTTGCTTGGCAACAAAAATTCTGGTCCCAATTGTATTTTGCTTCTTCTGTATTTTGCTTCTTCGGCCCTCTTTTGCCTGGACTGAATATACCCACTTCCCTTGTACAGCTGTCCATCCCCCCCCTAGGTCTGCTCACCATCATTATTCATCAGAGTTGAGGATGAATCCATGAGAATGGCTTCGGGACGGTTCTCCCCCTTGGTCCTCTCCAGCTGTGACTCAGTGCCTATTCCAGAGGGAATATCTTTCAAGTTAAAGCTGGGAGAGAAGCAGAAAAGGCTGAATAGTCCATAGTAAAAATTTCCTTCCTATATCCCCTTCTTCTATATGTCCGCAATACTTGCAATTTTGGATAAGTGCGATTGTTTTTAATTCTGAGCTTTTCACCAGCTATTTAACATAATTCCTTCTTTTTCTTTGTTCCTATCTTGCTTTGTTATCTCTACTATTTTTTGTTTGCTTTCTGTCATTTTCTAGTTTTAATGTTTAACAATTTGTAAACTGCCCAGAGTTGCTGGGCAGTTGGGCAGCTTAGAAATCTCATGTAATCACGCAACAGGTCCTTGGGAAGGACTCGATAGGCAAGTATAAAATACCAAATCCAGTCTACCATCTGGCTGACTGTGCGATGAACCAAAATGATATTATGTGGCTACCAATCTTATATACATGACTCTGGGTAGCCAACAAAAGAAAAAACAGCAAAAACAACCCAAAATTAAAAATAATAGGGCAGCCAAGAATGCTCATATTCCAATTTAATATAATCATGATCAAGAATCAGGCTTACCCACACTATCCTTACAAACACATACAGACTAATCAGCAATATCTTTGAATTATTTGATTTACCATTTTGTAATATTTCCTGTTGGCATTTGAAAAAACCTCCAAGGATTGGCTATTCCAGAATCTTTAGGCAGTGTTTCTAAACGTTGACATCTTTAAGATGGGTGGACTTAGGCTCCCAGATTCCTAATCTAAATGGGGGCTACAGGGCCTCACCTGGATTTGCCTTGAGAGTACATGTCCCGTAATGCAAGCCCCTGCCCTTCTCTTTACCTATTCATGAGTGGAAGGTTAGAGCTACTTTTCCCCAGGCTGTGGTTTTGGTTCATGGCAGGGACGATGTTAGGGCTTGAATAAATAATCCGGAGCATTGTCCATGTCTGAGCAACCTGGAGAAAAACAGAAAAGGCTAAGAAACTACGGGCTAGGTCTGTCAACTGAAAGACTGTAAACCAACCCTCTAGCACAGTGATGGCGAACCTTTTAGAGACCGAGTGCCCAAAAACTGCCCCCACCCCCATTCTACCCCTTGCCTCGCCCCACCCCATCCTCTGCCCCGCCTGCCCGCAGGGCCACTCACCGCCTCCAGGGCCCGCCACAGATGCCCAGGCAGCCCAGCAGCACCATGGCGGCCATGCCCTCTGCCCGCGCCCTGCAGCATCAACTGTGTGCGATGGGGCGAGAGCAGAGTCTTGTCTATGCTGCCTGGCTGCCATGTCCTTGGCTGCGCTGCTTCGCGTGGGCCACACTTGGGGGTGACTCTCCTCCAGGGGGGCTGCTTGTGAGGAGGGGGTCGTGGGGTAGGCGAGGCTGGGGCAATGGCACGCATGCCCACAGAGAGGGCTCCGAGTGCCACCTCTGGCACGCGTGCCATAGGTTCACCACCACTGCCCTAGGACGTCTCCTGTTCAATCCTTACCTTATCCCAAAGTTTTGCCTTTCTTTTCCTCCTCCTGCTCTTTATCTTTAGGGCTTCAGCCTTTGAGTTTGATTAAGAAATCACCAAGGATTTCACAAAGACCAGACGTTCATTTAGACAGTAGCTTATTGCATTCAATCTATGCATTGGTGAGACACATGAATTTCTGCAAAGTCCCTTGCTTTTCAAGATACCCAGTCATTGTCAAGACTCATAAGCCTTGAGGGCCCATGTAGAATGACACACGCAGAAACACATAGTCCTGGTCACCAACCATGAGTTTTATTTCAGAGTAATCACACACCTTTCAGCCACTAGTCTTATCTGTCCAGGTGCTCATGTATCTCCGGTGGTAGTTGGTGTCTTCCAATTGAATCCAGGCAGGGAATCCTGGACAAGCCTCGATTGTTGTCCCCAATTCGGCTTTGGTGCTGAAAGTCAATGAAGAACACCAGACACACGTTGCAGGTTTTGTTTCCTTTTATTGAAGCACTTCAACAAAAAGGATCCCTGCCAGCAAAATGCCAGGATCCAGAACAAAGGATTAAGAAAGCTTTATACAATTTTACAAAAGCAGAAGGCAGGACCAGGAGGGATATGTAAGAAATATCATCTAATAAACATTTTAGTAATGATCTAACAATTGTCCTATTGGTCGCTAGCTGTCCCTATTCCTAAGCCTTGGCTAATGAATGCTCCAGGAGTTATCTAATACACATTCTATTTGTTCCAGGCCACCCCTATTCCTAACTTCTAGTTGAGGTATGCAGGATGTCTAACTCTTTGTTACTGTTATCAGTCCTCTAACCACCCATAATTGTTACAAGTGTTACACGTGCATATTCTCTGTGAATAGACATTGTTTTTGCCAGACTTCATAATTACAGGCATCCCAGTTTTCTTTCAAGTGCATGCCATAGCTTGGCTTCCTTTTAGCAGACAGCCCATCAGTAGATTCTTTTACTAAAGTCAAGCAGTTGTAGCAAAAAATAAAGCTAGATGTGGGTATTCCTGCGCAAAGGTTACTTTTTCCCCTTTCCCTGCTTCTCCCCCCCCCAACCAGTTCAACAATGTCCAACATTATTCAGTTTTGAATTTTGGGGAACTGCTTTGATGCTGACACATCTCGATGTAGTTTCTCATTCTGTTCCCCGACCATGACTCTTTGGTGGCTGGCTTATTCTGGTTTGACACCTCTGGTTCTTGTCAGCTTGTCTCCCCCCTCCCCCATTTGTCTTCTCCTTTCCATGCCCGAGCTTTACTTCCCCAAATTCCTTTCTCCCACCCTTTCATTTTAAGGCTGGATGCCAGCAAAGCAAAAAAGCTGAAGATGGCAGACCTGACATTTATAGTGCTGAAAGGTACATGAATATTTTCTTTGGGTCTCTGATTTTCTCTTCCTTTAATTTATCTATTGCAGTTTACTAAAATTACTAATAACTTATGTATCAAAGAAATTCATTTAATATGGTGAAGGTAAAAGGAGTCTTGTTGAACTTGGTGAATATATCAACAAATTTTAAGCAAGAAGCTAAACATTAAAATGGATTTTCCCCCAAGAATTCTATTGAAAAGTTAATCATGAATGAAGGCAAATATATGTATCCCAGGATGTTGCAGGATCCAATTTGAGTTGGTCACTGGGACTGGAGGTTTAGTTTTCCTAGTTTTCAGATCTGTGCTGCAGCCTATCCTCAGGGAACTTCTATGGCGATATGTGTTCATTTAAAGTTCATCTATTCAGGCAGTAAATACCTTATTATTTCTATTGGAGGTATTGTCAAACTTATTTAATAAAAACCAGACATAAACAGAATCCCATTCTTATTCTTGGTATTTATCTACTTTCTGTTGCAGATCAATGAAATCACATATTTTAAACATTAATCTGATTTACTGGATATAGTTTTCATCATTGAGATGGGTGTGCTTATCGTCTGATGTGATGATCTTTACATTTGAAGTTGGCAGGTGATCAATACAAAGAGATTGTATTGAACAGACAGTCCTCAACTTATGACTGGTCGCTTAGCAATCATTCAAAGTTACAATTTTTTAAAAAAGAGGGCTTACCACCTGGATTCAAAGTTTCCATGGTTGAACCCTCTGTAGTCACGATTGATCTTTGAGCACTTGGTAACATGGCCATATTTACAGCCATTTGCAACATCTCCTAGTCATGTGACCACATTTTACAATAGTTTTGCCAAAAACTGGCACTTCCATTTTTTTTGCAAAATTGCACCCATAGAAAAGCATTAGTTCCTTTAATGACTCCAGCCATTTTCTTTACAACTGCTGCAAAATGGTCATAACATTTTACAACCATTTCAACATATGATTTTAATGGGCAGGCTCCATTATAGTTGTATGCCAAGGACTACCTGTATTTGAGGGTCTGAGGAATAAAAACGTGAAAGCATAGAAATAATTGTAGAAATACCATTTTTAAACAAATCCTATTGAACATAGTAGCACTAATACAAAAACCATAGGTATTTAGTTACTATACATTAGTATGGTAACACCCAATATATATTTGATCAAAGACTGGTATTATTAAATGATGAGTGTTACTTATGACAGTTAACTAAAGATACTGATATATATCTCACAAAGTTATATGTATATCACAAATCAGCATGAAGATTCTGTGGGTTAAAGTTTAACAGATATAATACAAGCTAGGGATGGCCTGGCTTTAGGCAGTTTTTCCCAAAAATATTTTTTCTGCCTTCTTAAATTTTCTGACTTCAACAGATAATTCCCAATATCGAAGGTAGATCCACATGAGCTTTCCATTTTGATTTTTATTGGTATTTAATAAATTGCTGCAAAAGGTATCATATCTGAAAATATCTTTCAGCCCAGCTTCCACTTCCAATTCCAAACCAATTGGATCAGTTGTTGCTTTGGCTAGCATTTTTTTTTCCACTGCCAACCGATGGTATCTTGGCAGTACAAGGCTGCAATACATATCTTGCCTTTCCATTAAAGCTTCTTCAAACTCTTTTAGTAAAATAGTGGCTTTTGTTTGCCACTGATCTTCCTTCTCCAAGCAGTTCTTATACAAAGCACCTGCAGCACCAGAGTGCTGCAGAATCCGTTTCTCTTGTTCTACCTTTGCGCGCTCTTGTTCCAAAATTCTTCTTTCTTCTACCAATTTGTAACTCTGAGAGATTAGTGCGTTGCGATAACTTAGGGTTCTGTTCTGTTCTTTCTCCAATTCTAATTCCAAGTGGGCAACCATTCTACGGTTTTCTATAATTATGTCGCGATATTTAGATTCAAGCTCTTTCTGTACAAAAGACAATTTTCTATAGACATTTCTTTTCTCTTTTTCTATTTCTTTCTTAGATTCTCTGGACCAAATCCAACCTGTAAGACATGAAAATATCATGGTAAATACCAGGACTGGTTTCCAATTTAGTGTGAAGCCAAACTTGATAAAGAATGGAAAAATTCTGAACTTATTTGAGATAGGACAAACATCAGTTAATTCATCCAGTCTTAAATCCACATTCTTTTGCAGAATTCTGTTTCTGGTCCACACTAAGTATATAATGAAAAAGCAAAACATTAATACACCTAAAAGGGGAAGATTCAAAATACTATCTTTCATGTTTGCTTATATATGACTCTGGTGAAATAACATCAGTGGAATGAAGGAATAAAGTAGAATCAGAGATCAATTAGCTTGTCCTCAGAGCAGGGTAAACCTTAAAACTAGATACCTAACTGCATGGATGGGGGAAGAAAATGAGGCTCTTTTAGATAGTTCTCTGTATGAGATTGTTTTCTCTTTCCCACTGACCTTTTAAAGCTTTGTTTTCTCTTTCCCACTGACTGTGTAAAGCTACAATGTCATTGGAAAAAGTGACGTATGACTGTTTTTTACACTTATGACCATTGCAGCATACCTATGATCACATGATCAAAACTCCATACCTGCAATGATTTGCTTAACAACTATGGCAAGAAAGGTCGTACTATGGAGCAAAACTCACAACAACTATCTTGCTTAGCAATGGAAATTTTGGGATCAATTGTGATTGTAATTTGAGGACTACCTGTAATCTCTTACCCCATTTAATGTTTGTATGTTTTATGACAACACAGATTATTTCCAAAAAGGAAAGAGGCAGAAATAAAGGCACTAGGGGAAAGTTACATCTGATTTTTGTCAGGTGAAAGTGTTATGTCTCTTGCCCTTAAAATTATTTGGTACTGATATTGGCCATCCTGAGTTCACAAGATTGCCATCTTACCAGGAGATAGCTGATAGGAACAGAGCTAGTTGTCTCCTCATTTTAGTCCACTGTGAAAGAGGGAGGAGGTTCACAGGAGAAATTCAGGCTCCTATGTTTCTGGCTGTGGTGGAGGAGGAAGATGTGGAAAATGAGATGAAGCAGAATTGCAACACTTCTCTTTTGATTGGGAAGATTGGGGGGGGGGGGAGAGGTGGCAGTATAAGCGCAAATGTCATCCAGTGCTTATGCCAAAATCCTCCAAACTATCAAACATTTCATGTCCAGCATCAGGCAATGTTTCTGGAAAAAAAGCCAGGCACTAAAGAAGCATGTTCTAGAACCATTATGAAGATTTTTATTTCTCTTCTGATTCTCACTTGGGAGTGGTACAATAGACTAAGGGGAATCGAAGACTATATAAACAATACCTATTATGAGGAGAGACAATGTTTCATTAGCCTTAGTACTGATATTCTGTTTCAGGTAAATATGATGTCACAATAATCTTTTTCACTGCAGTCAAGAATGTTCATAAGTGTCTGAAGAATAGGAACAGGGTACAGTCTCAAGACTAATTATTCTTAATAGATATACTTCTCTCTAAGATCTTAAATTGGACCATAATTGGTCAATGCAAATTAGGATGACTAGAGAGATCAAGGGGCAGGAAGGATGTGGGAGGTCTCATTCTTTACAAACATTATCAAAATGGGCTCAATAAACAATCAGAAAAAAATAAAATATGGAAAAATTCTATTGTTGAGTTCTAGACTTAAGAGTTATAAACTGTTTTAGATTGAAGACTTTATAAGCTTGCATGGCCATGAATTAGATGTAATCATATTTCCCCTACTGAATCTCTGCAACATTTTGCTAGCAAAATTGTAGACAGTTCACTGTGAGAGAGAAAAAAACCTTATTTTCTGTAAATATTGAGCCTTGAGTATTTTCTTTGATAAAAGAAGAAATAAAAATGCAGTAGGGAATCTTTGTTTTTTAATACTAGAGTAATGATATAGCTCCAGGTTTCAAGAAGCCTAGAGTCTCTAAAATAAGCACAAAATATTTGTAGGATGATTCACTTTTAACAATGGACAAGGAGAACAACTAAAATTTCAAAATAATTGAAAAATTCAAATTTTATTTGAAATTCACTTACGGAAGGCAGCCAGTCCCAGCATTGGAACCAACAAAGCATAATTCCATTTGCTTCCATGATCTTCATTGTTTCTTGCATTAGGCTGAATGTTCCAGTTAGGAGGAGGGTTATTTAAATTATTCATAGGCAAACCTTAAAATCAGAGAAAGCAATTCTTGAGATACTTATTACCTAACTTTATGCTCAGCTATTTAAATTCATATATCTCTGCTAGAATTCCCTGAAAAGTTACTTATATCTATGACAAAAAATGTAGGGAAAAATATACTGCTGCCAAATCCGATTGGTCATATCTTTGACTATGCTTCCCCAAACAATAAAGACTTAGCCAGATCATTAGCTAGTTCCTTTAGCACTTTGGGATACAATATGACCTTAGATTTAAAATCATTCATAAGAAATATGTGTTTGCTGACCATGTTTCTGTTGGTCTCAATCTTTAGTTCTGCCATTTTATCTATTCTTCATACTTTCTGGAGGAACCAGGGCTGATTCAGGGCTAAAAATCAAGTAGGCCAGATTAGAGGCACCAAATTTTAGGGGTGTCCATTCTTATAATCTATTCAGGGAAGAAGGAAGTACAGAAATTGATATTGATATTCAAGTCCTGATAGGAACAGTTTTAAGAGCAAAATACATTTAGCTGAAGGAGAAAAAAAAGGGGGGGAGAGAATTACAGCAATCGTCAAATATCAAAAGTGCTATTATTAAGAAAATGGAGCAGAATTTTTCTGCTGCTATGGAGAGCAGAACTATGTCCAATGGATGGATGGGAAGTAAATTTTAGTCAAATATTAGAAAATATTCAGGTAAGGCCTATTTGGTGATATATTAGACTATCTCTGGAAGGATAATCTAGTTTCTTCTCTGAATGTATTTTAGTAGAAGTTGAATAATCTTCTTTCAAAGACTATATCATACCCTGTATTAAATAGGAAGTTGGATTAGATTATCCCCAAGGGTTCTTTCTGTGATATACAGTAATTTTATATACAACAGAATTCCCTAATTCTGATATAGGTATATTTATTTATTTATTTCCTATGAAAATTACCATAATAATAGGCATGGTTAAAGAAAGAAAACTGATTTACTTTTGGGAGGTTACTAGAATTCATAGGAAATGCATTCATAAATAAAACCTCTCAATTTCATATTTACAATTTACAAACAACCTTACGTGTTTTCTCTAGTCATTGGAGGAATTGTAGCCATATGGCCACATCAGGGCTGAAGAACGCATTCCGTTTGTTGAGCCGATTTTTCCCCATCTAAAGTCCCATCTAAAGTCCACCATTTAATTGACTATTCTTTAATAAAAAGTTTTGTGGAGAGAAATCTATAGGAAAAACTCTTCCTCTAAGAGAGAGAGATGATGAAATGTTCCTTCAGATTTTGTGTGTGTGTATATAAACACACAAAGATGCGCGCGCACACAAATCTGTATGAAGGATCATTTCAGCATCTGCAAATTTACCAAAACATAAAACAATTATTGTATAGTTTTACCATCTTCACTAAAAACAGGATTAATATGGACTACAAGATTTTCAGGGCCTAGCTGGACTACAGTACTGTTGACTGCGGTACTCACAAGCCTCCTCTCTTTCATTAAATTAACACCACTTTAAATATAAAAACATGCAAACCCATACCAAAAAATCTTCACGGACATTAAACAAAGGTAAAAAGAAAACCCACGACCATAAAGTCTGGCAAAAAAATATTCCAAAACCTCGGTAACAGCTACTACGCCCTTAGCTATCATTGCGCATACGCAAGATGCGCACCGTGTTCGTTTAGCTTTTTTTCTTTTTTTCCGGAATAAAGCCACCTCATTGTGAGGGTTTAAAACCATAGAAGACACCAATTATAAAAGTTTTTCTTTTTCAAAAATTCCTTGCAAACGGATTGTCCTGGTACCGTAGTAGCATATTTAAAACTTCGGAGCTTTCATAACCTTTGATTTTCATAATTTTTTATAGAAACAACTAAGGCCTGAAATGGAAAAACCTACCCGAACAGAGTTAATTTTGGTTTTTTTCTCGCACTGGTGGTAGCCAACCAGCATTCTCCGTGGGACGCTTGCTCAGTTAGGTCCCACTTTCCACACACGCGCAGTAGCGTAATATCCTACCGGGTAGAAATGGCGCTGACTTTGGGAAGGCTGAGATATTTGCAGCTGTTCTGCAAGGTACGTCCTTGATACGGGCCCGGTCAACTATAATAAATTAATATTTACCATGCGCTTGAGGGTAGGTTTTTCAGCTTCAGTTGGAGAATAGTGGTTTAGGCTGGCGGGATGTGCGACTTTATTGGCTTCGTATATTCAGCCCAGGTTATGATAAGATACTGGAAGTTTTGGTATTTTTTTTTCCTGGTGTATTCCGTTCTTCAGACGGGAACCGTGTTTCGAACAGTCCCATATTTCTATACCTTAAAAAACAGATATTTATTTTTTCGTCCGTATATTTTCTTGTTGAGAGCCCTGCGTTGAACTTTGTTCTTAAAAATAAACGTATTTCGGTCTTGAGATTAAAACATAATTTATACAGTAACAAAAAAATGGACCCAGGAAATTACAGACCTATCAGCCTGACCTCAATACCTGGGAAGATTCTGGAAAAGATAAACAACGAATCAAGGAACACCTAC